CGATGGTGGTGCCAGGTGGTGCTGCTTCCCAAGGCTGCTGCTTCCCAAGGCAACCACTGCAGTCAAAGCGATTGTGCTGCAAGCACGTGCTAGATGCTTGGCACGTGGTTGTGGTGTGATATTGCTATGCAAAATCCCCCGGGATAAAAAACAAGAAAAACAGACATTCAGGAGGCAGCAGTAGCTTTGAAAAGGGATCCACCGCAGATTGATTTTCAGAGGGCAGTAAAAGTCCATCATAGGTATAAATGAGGCTTAAAGAGATCACATTTTCTAGCTGTGCACAAACTTTTGTTGTCTCAGTTGAACCCATGAATGATGATGACCTATAATGTTTTAGGGATTCTCCATGGCCTTGTGCCTTTCCTAACTGCAAATCAGGTCCAATAAATGAAGAAACAAACGTTTTACAACAAAACAATGCTCTTTTATTGCTGTTACACACCAATCAGCCATTACATTATGGTCACCTAATATTGAGTAGGTCCCACTTTTGCCACCAAAACAACCCTGACCCATCAAAGCATGGACTCCACTAGAACTCTGAAGGTATCCTGTGGTATTTGGCACCAAGCTGTCACTAGCGGATCCTTTATGTCCTGTAAGTTGCGAGGTGGTGGTCTCCTTCTCACACCACATGCATCAATGAGCTTTGGCCACCCATGGCCCTGTCACCAGTTTACCGGTTTTCCTTCCTTGGACCACTTATGGTAGGTTCTGACCACTGCAGGCCAGGAACATCCCACAAGTGCTGCAGTTTTGGAGTTGCTCTGACCAAGTTGTCTAACCATCACAATTTGGCCTTTGTCAAAGTCGTTCAAATCCTTACGCTTAGACAATTTTCCTGCTTCCAACACATCAACTTCAGGTGCAAAATCTTTACTTGCTGCCTAATATATCTCACCCACTTCTGGTGCCATTGTTATAAGATAATCAATGTTATTCACTTTAACTTTCAGTGGTCATTATGGCTCATTGGTGTATTTGCTCATAGTTATTTCATTCTATCAAGTGTGTATATAGAGTGTTCCCAGGTTGCTCTTAAGTGTTCATGGTTATACTCACTGTGCAGTCCCTGCTCTTAGCATAGTGTCTATGTATCCATTCTTCCCACTCTGATTGGTCCACCACATTCCAGCTTGGATAATCCAAGAAAGCCGCATGAGCTATGACACTGTTCTGCTCATTACTGATAGTCACTGCCAGACTGGATTTTTCCCTGAAATCAAATAAAACATTTTGTATTATAGGGAAGAAGGATGATATAGTTCACAGAAGAAAGCTTGAAAAGTTGATGACTTTGTTTGAGATCTCAGTTAAGAGCACAGGAAGTTACAAGCACACTGGATTTCTGGCAAGATTAACAAGCATTTTCTGTAATTGCTTGAATAACAGAAAAGTAATGCAGACATCTCAGGGCTGGAAAGCTGCAATACATTATAGTTTTGTTTTTGGGTTTAAATTTACTTTAGGGTAACCTGACCAAACTAGGGGGTGCTTTAAAAAAAGGCTTTTTAAAGAGATACATACTTCAATAAATTCTATAAATATACGAACTTTAATACATTTAAGGGACACTGCTTCACATGACAGCTGTGTTTTATTTATAGTTATCTCTGTTTAAGCTCTATTTAAAGTGTGTGTAAAGGCAACATTAGATTTAAGGAAGGGTTAAATCCCTTTTGACATATTCTTTACTGTCTGCATCCCATTGGAGAGATTTTCCTTTACATCCTGTCCTCGAAATGCTACAGAAAGTCAAAGAAAATCTCCCAAAAGTGAGGGGAATGTCTCTTTTAGACAACTGTCACCAGCATGGGTGCCCCATTGGAGACTTCTCTTGACCTCCTGTTTTGATGACAATTCAAACTTTTGGATTTATTAGCACTTTTTGTCTTGTTGGCACTGGTCACCACTACAAATAGAGAGGGTGAATCTACCTGGGGGGACAGCAATAAAAGTGTGACTAAGGAATTAACCCTCCCCTGCTCTATGCCTTTAAATACATTTTAAGTAAAAGGGTCATATTTGTAATGCAGTGAATGTGACTTTACCAAACATTCACTTCAGGTGAATTAATCACTGTCATTAAAATCACATGTACTAGGAAGATACACCTGCAGTGAATGTTTGAAGAAGGCCACATTCACTGCTTTATAAATATGCCCCTTTCACTTAGGCCTCTTTCACATGGGCAGCCTCTAACTTTAAATTGCAATAGCCAGTGGCAGGCTGGCTGTTGCATCTGCCCAATGCCTGCTGTCAATCAGCAGAGGAGCGGACCTGAAGGAGAACTTTCTCCGTTATGTCCTCCTCTGCTGATTGACAGCAGGCAGTGGGCGGGTTTAGTAACCAGCCTGCTTTTGGCTATTGCGGTTTGAAATAGCCAATAGCAGGCTGGCTATTGAACTGCCCACTACCTGCTGTTTACATTCAGCTGCCAGCTGCAACCCGATGTAAACAAAATATCGGTACCGGATATTGGTTATTGGCCTGAAACGTGGCCCATAATCGGTATCAGTTCTGAAAAATCATTATCAGTCAACCCCTAATGCCAATAATCCTATTAACCAATCTGGCATACAGCAACACACACACTGATATAATACAATAACTGGTACTTACAGTAAATATATGATATTCACATTTCCAAATATGTTTTGTGTGGATGATGTTTTGAGCTCAGAAATACCATGAACATCGAAAGATTCTGTCCTCTTGACAGTCACTTCTTGTGTTTTTCCACTTGCTGAAGTCAAGATAGTCATGATGATTGTAGAGGACAGTGCTGAAATACAACAGGGACAGAAATTCTGCTGAAAAATTGTTTTTAAAATGTTGGTTTGACTTTCTAATTGTTAATGGGGTCAATTCGACAATCATTTTTGATCGTAGTGATGAGAAAAACAAACTAAATTCTAACAGTGAGTGTTGTTTTCATTTGGGAGACACTATTCATTTCCAAAATCCAATGTTCAAATCAAACGAAATTTCAAACGATATTTTACAGGTCTCTGATTGCATTATCGAATGTTCTGATGAGATTTTGCCAGCTTAAAGGAGAATTATGAGGCGAGTGATTGGATAGGCAGAGCCAGCTGTCAATCCCGCAGCTGGGTGGATCTCAACAGCAATGTCAGGATCTGTTCCGGCTGCGGCGCCTCAGTATACCGCGAACTGTAGCTCGCGGTATACTGAGCTTTGGGTCACGGGAGGACGCTAGTTTGTGTTCTGTTCTGTTCATGTGCAGGGGTGTGGACATTTTTTTAAAAACTACTTGTCCAAGGACTAAAGTGGGGGCCAAATCTACTTGTCCTTCACGACAATCTACTTGTCCCAATACAAAAAAGTTTTAATCAAAACTAAGGATGCACCAATGCCGGTTTTTCGGTCTCGAGTACCGATTTTTTGCTTTCGGATCTCGCCCACACTGAATACTAATACCGGTGCTTCCGCTGACATAGAGCAGGCTTCCCTGGTAATCAGGAAACCGGGCAGCAGGTAATGACATCCCGCCCAGGTTCCTGATTGCCACGGAAGCCGGCTCCATGTTGTTTGGCCTGCTTGATTGCGATTGGCCGGGAAACCTGCTTCCCGGTCAATCAGGAAGCCGGGTGGCGAGTAATGACCTGATTGACCGGGAAACTGGCTCGATGCTGATTGGCTAGGAAGCCGGCTTTCCAACCAATCAGCAAGGAGCCGGCTTCCCGGGCCAATCAGAAAACCAGGAGGCGGGTCATTACTTGCCGCACGGCTTCCTGATTGCACGGGAAGCTGGCTCCATGTTCCCCTACGGCACTGCCAGTCAGAGGAAATTTTCATCTGGCCGTAAGTTCCAATATCGGGGAAGGTATCGGAGCATTTGGGTGAGTACGAGTACTTGCCCAAATACTCGGTATCAGCACTGATACTAGTATCGGTGCACCCCTAATCAAAACATATTTTACTGTGCTAAATAGCGCTTCTCACTGGTCAGCGCAGTCATCTGACCACGTTGACCAATGAGTGCTTGCAATTTGCGAGCGAAATTCAAAATGCATAGGGGAGGACTGCGCTGGACAGCAGTACGGGGGACAGATAGTACACCCATACTGGCGGAGGGGAGGGATTGTTCGCCGAAAGGTAAGTATAGCCAGGGGGGTGGCGGTTTGGGAGAGACAGGGCCAGATTTCATCGGGTAATTTTTATTTTTCCATATTACCTGGGAAAATGAACTTACCCTTTAATGCACATTGTGTGTGTGTAAGAGAATTCTGGCTACCACCATAGAATAGTGGCTGCAATCTCAAAGCACATGCAGAATGCCCTACGCATGCGTTTATTTGCGTTTAAATGGAGGGAAAAGGGTTAAAGCAAATAGTTAGTAAAAAGTCCAGACTTTTGATAAAATCCTTTAATTGAAAAAAAGAAAACCAAACAGTACATTTTTGACTATTCCTTTAATTAAAAAAAAAAAATGGCTCCATCGATGTAATCCAGCGTCAAGCATGGTGCACGACACCCGCTGACATTCTGGCCAGAGATGTAATTTTGCGGCGGTCTTCCTCGGGTTTAGGCAGGTCATCGTGCGGCAGGACCTTTTCTTATTTCAGTGGGCATTGTGCATCGTAATTGATAGGGATGCACCGATATATCAGCCGCCGAAACATATCAGCAGAAAATGCCACTTTTGGCATAATGCACTATGTCCCAGCGGGGAGAAGAGAAAGTGACACCGCTCTGCCGCCTATCACAGTCCGGCAGAGTGGTGTGTGGGCGGAGACAGCGCTGTCACAGGAGGCTGGGATTTCCTCTCTACACCGCTCGATCAGCCTCCTGTG